GAGCTGAATTCCAGAGGTGAAGTGAGAGTGATAGCCCTTGATATCAAGGCTGCTTTCAACTGAATGTGGCATCAAGGATCCCTAGCAAAACTGGAATCAGTGAGTATTAGGGGGCAAACTCTCCGGTGGTTGGAGTCATACCTGACACAGAGGAAGATGGCCATGGTTGCTCGCGGTCAATCATCTCAGCTCCAGAACATCTCTGCAGGAGTTCCTCAGGGTAGTGTCCGGGGCACAAACATCTACAGCTGCTTTATCAATGACCTTCCCTCCATAAAAAGGTCAGAAGTGGGGATGTTCGCCGATGACTGCACAATGTTCAGCACCATTCGTGAATCCTCAGATACTGAAGTAGTCCATGCTCACATGCAACAAGATCTGGACAATATCCAGGCTTGGGCTGACAAGTGGCAAGTGACATTCGTGCCACACAAATGCCAGGCCATGACCATCACCAATAAGAGACGATCTAACCCTTGACAGTCAATGGTGTTACCATCACTGAATCTCCCACTATCAACATCCTGGAGGTTACCATTGACCAGAAACTCAACTGGATTCACCACATTAACACAGTGGCTACAAGAGCAGATCAGAAGCTGGGAATACTGCAGCGAGTAACACACCTCTTGACTCCTCAAAGCCTGTCCACCATCTACAAGGCACAAGTCAGGAGCATGTTGGAATACTGCCCACTTACTAGGATGAGTCCAGCCCCAACAACACTGAAGAAGCTTGACACCATCCAGGGCAAAGCAGCCGCTTGATTAGCACTACACCCACAAGCATTCACTCCCTCCACCACCGACACTTAGTAGCAGCAGTGTGAACTATCTACAAGAAGCACTGCAGAAATTCACCAAAGATCCTCAGACAGCACCTTCCAAACCCACGACCACTTCCATCTAGAAGGACATGGGCAGCAGATATATGGGAACACCACCACCGCCAAGTTCCCCTCCAAGTCACTCACCATCCTGACTTGGAAAAATATCGCCTTCCTTTAGTGTCACTGCATCAAAATCCTGGAATTCCCTCGTAATAGAATTGTGGGTCAACCCACAGCAGGAGGATTGCAGCCGTTTAAGGAGGCAGCTCACCACCACCTTCTCAAGGACAACTAGGGATGGGCAATAAATGTTGGCCACCCAGTGACGCCCACATCACACACATGAATTAAAAAAACTGAACAAAAAAAAATTAGCTTGTAATTTATGAAATCGTTTCATCAAGAAATTATGTTCTTTTACTTACTGATGATGAACAAATTAAGTGCAGTATAATTGCTGTATTTCTTGTAGCTGAGATTTCAATTGAGGAAAATTAGATACTTACGTTAATGCAATTGGTCAGTTCAAAGTCCAATTGAACCTCTGATTGTCTAATACTAATCCTCACATGATCTGCTATTCACGTTTGACAAGAATTCTTCTTGTTGCCTTAGCCAATGCATAACTTGAAATGGGTGTTTTCCTCTGAGTGATCAGTACCTTTTGAAATAACCTTTGGATCTGGATTCCTGAGTGGTTCTTATTCCATGGAAATTACCAAAATGTATCAGTGCAGATATACTTTTCAAGGGATGTTAGAACAGCAGTGTGGGATTAGAATAGTGAGATGGTTGTTTTCAACAGGTATGAGTGTAATGGACCGAAGGGCCTTTTTCTGCACTGTAGACTTCTCTGTCTCTACAACTCTATTAATATGAAAAGAGATAGGTAGTGTTATGGTAGGAATGACCAAGATTATTAATTTGGAAAATGGTATGTTTGTGAGAAAGTTATTTTGAGTGGGCATATTCATTAGTTGTAGAAATTTGGTAAGACAGTGATAATTTTCCAATTAGCAATGTTTTAATGTTAATGATAGGCCATTTTAATTAATAACCATGCTGCATTGTATCTTTGTATCAGAAGTATTGTTACAATCAGTCCTGAAATCCACACAAGGGGAGTTAGGAAACAAATTATGCTAAGTTAAGTGATCTCTTGTAACATTGTCTTTGCCAAATGTACTCATAAAATTATTCTTTTTCAATTCATGAGACAGTAAGAACTGCAGATGCTGCAGCCAGAGATAACACAGTGTGGAGCTGGAGGAACACAGCAGGCCAGACAGCATTAGAGGAGCAGGAATGTTGACGTTTCAAGAGTCCCAACCCGAAACGTCAACTTTCTTGTTCCTCTGATGCTGCCTGGCCCCTGTGTTCCTCCAGCTCCACACTGTGTCATCTCCTTTTCAATCCATGTCTGTGTTTGCATGTTTTCCATTTCCTCATTTGTTTTGTACTGTTTCTGGAATACTTTTCCCACTTTTGTCTGTTTTTGTTTACCATGGAAATGCTAAAAATACCAAATTGTGACTTTCTGGGTGACCTTGAGACCTGCAAAGGAAATGCAATGGCGAAATAGAGTGTAAGTTACAATTAATATGAACACCTGATATAGGATTAGCTCCCAGGATAGAACTGGGTTCCGAATTACAATTATCATCATGTTGTATTACAATGAGAGTGAGGTCTTATGGTTAAAGTCAGGGGCTAGAATAACAATCACCCTTTATCAATCTCCATGTTGGCATTAAGTTTTCAGTTTAAGTTGATTATCAGGATAGTTTTGGGGTGCCAATGAAAGTGGAGTTGAATCCCTTTGAAGAGTCAGTGACAATGAGGATGTGGCTGGTACTGTAGCAGATGGTGCCCCTCAGATAAATGGTTAAGAACTGATTTTACTGAAATGCAGACAATCTTTTGATGGCGATTGAAGGGAAACTCAAGCCAAGATCAGACTTAGAATCCCAGGTGGTCTCCATCTCAATTTTTCTGAATGCTCATATTCAGGCTCAACCCAGACACGGGGTCATGAAGAGTCAGTACTAATATATTATGTTACTGTGATTCTCTCCCTACCACATTTGATGTTAATATCCCTGTTTGGAGTAGATGGTGGTTCTACCTCAAGTATCCCTCAGCAGAAAACCATGGCCACTCAAATTTCTGTGATCAATATAGTTTTTGTTGCAAAGCCAATATCTCATCTGTCCACTGTCTACAAGGCACAAGTCAGGAGTTGGCAAGTGACAACATTCCTCAACTGCCTGAATGGGTGTAGCTCCAACAACACTCAATTAGAGTTATACCCTTCAAGAGGATGTCAGGAAGTTGTTTTGCATGAAAGGATTGTGGAATCGGGAACTTTCATCGCCAAAGATCTGCTGCAGCAGGACAGATTGAAAGTTTCAGAACTGTCATTGATGAACTTTTCTTAGGGAGAAGGTACTAAAGTTTATGGAACAAAAACAGGTCGATGAAGTTAAGATACACACCAGCAGGATCCAGTTGAATAACAGAGCAAGGTCAAATAGTTAAAACCCTATTCTTGTTCCTATTATACAGCAGGATAGTTACATTGAAGAAGAATCTATAATTGACTTACATCATGATGGCCTATTGGCTCACAAAATTATAAACATATGAAAACAGACATAAACTATGGAATTTTTTTTAATTACGGAACAAGAGGGAACGCATTTGGAAAATTACAGAACCACATAATAGAAGCATGGCAATATTTGGCTTACTTGAACAATCTTACAGTCACTGGTTGAAATAAAATGATCAAGATCCGATTAGAAGTCAGTCAGAAAGAGCTGACTTCCAGTTGTCAAAATTATCAAGGAGAAGAAACAAATCAACCTGAAGCATTCTTTTATTAATACACGTGATTATATTATTACAGCAATTCAAAATCAGATTGTATGTATCCATTGTTCTTTTTCAAAAAATATGACCCTCCATTTAACCCCGGCATGCCGGAGTATTCAGTAAAAATACATCATGCAGGATTTGCTGTGATGCAGTTGCTAACATACTTGCCTCTAAACCACAAGCTACTGCCTAAAATTACCACTGCGGGGCTTTGAGTACAGAAAGGGCAGCACCTTGTTTTTTGTGCTGAGGGAGCTCTGTGATGTTGGAAGTGCTCAATTTTAGATGAGACTTTAAACCAAGGTCCCCTCTACCTATTCAGGTGCCTATGGAAGATTTCACAGCAAGATACCCTTTCAGCATTCTTGAAGTTACTGACTCTTAGATAAGTATGCTGTCTCGCACACCACTTTTGCATCGTCCAAAGGGCCCACTAAGGCAAATGTTGTTGCCCTTTTAGGTGTCCGTCCTGTTCTACTTTCTCAACTTCCATTTACCAAAACCATACAGGAAGTCATATAAGTTTTAGATTAACATTTCTTTGTTTAGGCCTGTGACTGTAAGACTCATATGCAGTCAGTATGAGTACACTGTTATCTTGTTCAACAAACAGACTCCTTCATTTCATCTTCATTTAATCAGGCATTGATGGAAAACGGATGCAAAGAGTAGAAGATTATTCTGTTTTCATCGCTCAGTTATCAAATGTTGATCACAACTTTCTGGAATGCCCTTATGTTACAATCAGCCAGGAGCCTGATGTAAAAGCAAAACACTGCAACTGCTGGAAATCTAAAATAGAAAAAAACAAAGTGCAAGAGAAACTCAGCAGGTCTGGCATCATTTATGGAAATAGAAACAGAGTTAATACTTCGAGTTTGATATGATTCATTTTTGGAGCCTGATTATCTGCGGACACCAAACATGACCCGTGAGGTACCAGTTACCACATTTAGACTGGATTGGATTGGAACCTTACATAGTAATGAACTGTTTTCTCAGACTTTAGCAGAATTTCTGAAAACTCTTTGTTGACAAATTCTTTTGTGTTTTGTTGAAAAAAGATACATTTTCATTTTGCACTTATCCAGACTTTTGCAAGGCATAGCAATGTAAGGGGAAGGAGCACTTTATATTAAATGATCCTGTCTCAGTGTATGTCACACAAACCTATGAACCAGGCATAAGGTTGCCACTTGCGATCATGAAAAGTTCCTCATTAATCTGGAAGAGTGAAATATCTCAAAACTTTCAGCAATACGTGAAGCAAGATGTTTGTTGTTATGTGAATCTTGCCTTTAAAAGAGCTTGTCCTTAAGAATTTGACATGCTGTGTGCATATAATGTTGTGCCTCTGCCTGCCATTTGTCTGCGAGCTGTACAACCAGAAATCAGTTGGCTTCTGAAGTTCCTGCTTCATAATTTGTAATGGGTTTCATTGTTTTAAGTAATCTAACACACAAAGTTAATGAATCCTACTGAGTGAATCATCATCAGCCTATTAACATGAATACAATACTGTGCAGTAGCAACATGAGTGGTATTTGCAACTAACACAATGCTGCCATCCAGCTAAAAACACATTCTGCCCATCACACAAATGAGTCACGTGGACTATGCACATCAGTGCCATTGTGATGCTCATATGTAATGCAAAATTTCAAAGAGTGGCTAATTATATCAAACAGCATGTCTGATTATGATGTCCAAGTGCCCCTTTCTCATGTCAAAACCATAATTACAGAACTTTTTGCTTTTTCTGCCAAATAATGGTACAAAGTTTCTTTAGCAGTACAACTAACAACATCGTAAGCATGAGGAACAGTGACAACAGGAAGATCATCACATCTACACAATAGTAAACGTACCAGGGGATTCGGTAAGACTCTGAGCGCAAATGTTGTGCCACTTTGTGTCGGGCAACGTACTCAATCCAGAAAATAGCTCTCTCCATTGGAGATTCGGGTTGGTCTCTGTGGAGAGCAGAGAGTTTCTGCATGTTCTCCCGATAAGAGGTGTTATTTATAACCTTGTTGAGTGCCTGCAATAGATCTCTTGACTGCATGGTGGAGATATCAATTACCATTGCTGCACCTCGGATTTCAAGTCTGATTAAGTTATCAAACTGGTCATAAAACAGAGGTACTCCAACTATACCCCATGATAGATGGCTTCATAAAGCCCATTGGTGCCACCGTGAGCAACAAAGGCTCGTGTCTTTGGGTGCCCTAGTAGGTCATTCTGAGGGATCCATTTTGCCAGTAGTGTATTATTTCCAATGTTGGGAGGGGTCTCTCCATTGTGTCCCCAAATAACCTTCTGAGGTACTTGAGCACAGGCCTCTGCTATTTGCATTGTTACATGTATTGGCAAAGAATTGACCATGGACCCCAAAGACATGACAATAACCCCATGTTCCCCTGAGGACTGGATAAACTCTTCAAACTCCTTCTCCAGAGGTTTGGATGGTTTACACTGGAATCCTCCAATATAAACAATATTTGGCATGGTGGGTCTTGGAAAATCAAATATAAAATCTACTCTCATCAGCCACACATCTGCCCTTAGAAGAACTGTCTCAATGTCTGTGTCTGGGCCCAGATAGCGATGGCAGCGGTCATTGTACATGGGGTGAGTTAGGAATTCTGTTACGGATCGATGAAAAAGATTTAAGATGACATTTTTTGTTCTTTGGAAAAAATTCATTTTATCCGTCAATTGTGATCCCGGCGTTGGGATATAAGATAATGCAGAAGGGGCAAAGAGAAAATGAGCTTCTCCGCTGGTGAGCCAACGAACATTATGCACCAAAGGGAGTTTTAAATAAAAAGCAAGCAATGAACCTATGGGAAAAACAGGATCTGCAAATACTAAATTAAAGTGTGCATTTTCAAGCTGTCTCAACAAACTTTTGTTTTCAAAGACTGTGATAACAACCTTGTGAACCTAACTATGACAGGTGTGCATAAAAGACATTAGTTTGTATTAGGACTGAAGAAAAGTCCATGGCCTTGAACCGTTCTGTAAAATCTCTAATGACTTTTGTACAAATTTTCGCAAAATATCTTCACTTGTCGCATTCCAATCAAGTTCTACCACCACAGATTGATATAAATCAGGCCTCGCATCGACATGCCAAGAAGTTGAGAAATAAAGCACTGTGAAGTTACGTTCATGATTTTTCAGTTCTTCCAGTAGAATTCTCTTATTGGTCCAATGACTTACTTCAGCCGGTACAACCAATATATCAGCTGCCTGGGTTATCATACAAGACATGATGATGATGGCACTAAGAACAGGCGCAACTTCGAATCTGCTCTTCCAACTAGGACACTTCATACTGGGAGGATGTAACAGTCAGATCCTATTGGAGAATTGAATAGAAATATTGATAGTATAACATAAATTGGAAAATATAGAGACAAATAAATAAGCAGCAGTAATAAACTGTAGGGACCTTGAATTTACCTCAACCATTCAATAAGACCATGGTTGAACTTCTACATCAATTCCACTCTCCAGTCTTAACCCCATTTCCCCTTATTTGAATGGATTCGATAACTTTGTATCTTGCATTCATAGTTTACTGAGATGAGATTTCCAAAGAGATACAGTCCTCAAATCAAGACATGTTGCCACATTTCAGTCCTAAATGGATGCCCTCTAATCCAGATACTATTAACCAAGATCTAGACTCTTTCTCTAAAGGACACATCCTTTCTGCACTTAGCTGTCAAGTCACTAAGAATTTTCTACCTTTCAAAGTGATCACCTCTCAATTTTCTAAGCTCCACTGAATATAACCTAGTTCTAATCAACACATCCTCATATGATAGCTTTGTGTTCTCCAGATTAATTTAGTGAATCTTTCTTGCATCCTCTCCGAAGTAAGTATATCCACCCTTAGGAAAGGGGTCTAATGGTGTGGCACAGTATACCTATCACTGAGCCAGAATTGCCAGGTTCATGTCTTGCTTCCTTAGAGATGTGTTATAACACATCTGAATAGGTTGATTAAAAATATCTGTCTATCCTCAGGTAAGGCAACCAAGGTATAATCTCATCAACTTCAAATGTACCTGCAACATGACATCCCTAACCTTATAAGCAACCCCCTGGCAATAAAGGATATCATGCAATTTGCCTTCGTAATTGCTTGTTGCCATTTGCACATTAGCTTTCTATAAAGTGTGTGAAAGAACGCCTTAGTTCTTATGAATGTAAACTTTCACAACCTTTTAAAAATGCTCTGCTTTTTCACTCTTCCTATAAACGCATAATATTACACTTACTCAAAGATATTTCTGTCACAGTTGTGTTTGGACTTGCCAGTATATTAAACATATCAGAGCTGTAGGCTGAATAACTTCTTGTGCAAAATAAACATTCGGATAGAACAGAAACAGACTGTGTTGGATTTTCAGCAGATAAGCAAGAAGCAGCCAGTTCCAACTACAGGAGCAACAGGTTCCACAAGATTCTCAATCATTCTATTATTCTGTTCTAGTCTCTCAGTATGAACGTAGTATAATCTGCAATATTGTTGTACAGAAATTAAAAGCAACTCAAACTTGCCTTGCCTAAAGGAGTCTATTCAAGGCACTTGAAAGGCTATTTTATCTTGTCTGCTAACAGCTGGGGATACCATGAAGGACGCTCCATCTCAACCTCTCCGCTCACCTGAGATGTAGTGAGTCTCATATTAAATCGCAACCACTCAGCTCTCTCTAATGAAAGAGCAGTTCTTTGTTCCGGTAAGACTATGATGACGTTACCCGAGTTATCAAACATGTTGTCATGAAATTGCAAACTTCTACTTACCGATAAGGCACAAATCGAACACAGCAGCAAGTCTTGTATTCCCGAATCATGAGATTTCAAATAAAGTGGTGTATGGTTATGTTAAGCAGCTGGCAAATGTCTGTGAATTTGTGATTGAGTAATATTAATAATGGGGGGCGTCTGCTATTTATTATGTGAAATGATCATTCTCTTGGCATGCATACAAACTCATTTTGGCAGACGTTTCCTTTGCATTAACACTGCCTCTAGAATTCACTGCTTGTTTCTGAATTTTTGAATTGTTCTACTTTCACAGAAAGTACTGACTTAATGTAGTGCATAGGCAAACTTTTCATAAATAACTTATTGTCACAGCATGAGAAGGGCAAGGTGATTTAGCAAATGTTGTGGGATAGATGTTGGGGTGGGCACATTAACTTGCTGATGAAAACTGGTAATATATTCTTAAGAGTGAACTTTCCAATTGACAATAGCATAATGATGATGATAAGCCATTTAGAACAAACCAGTACACTGCACTCCATAACATTCTGAAAAAATTCATTGACTAAAACATCAACTTTGTTACTGCTTGCACAGATAATATCAGATTTGCTGAATAATATCAATATTTTCCATTTTTGTTTCAGCATTGGAATCCCTGATATTGCCTGCTGTCTACTTTTTTATTCTTAGGTCACATCCATTCTAATGTTGCTCTGCAACACAGTAACATAGAAAATAGGGCAGAAGCAATCCATTCAGCCTGCTCCATCACTCATTTTGACTATGGCTAACTTTTTGGCTCAATATTCTCTTCTAATTTCACCCCCATATTCTTTGGTCCCTTGAGCTTGACTTGCTGTATCCAACTCATTCTTAAAATCATACTACGTTTTGGTCTTAACCACAGAAAGCAGTCAGGACAATGGGGATTGCTCCCATGCCTTTCTACAAAATAGCGTAATTCAATGTTTTACAACACTACAATAGCTTCACTGTTTTCTTCCCTCTGCTTCTGGACAACGTGACTGCTCAATCTGGGTGAGTTCAATTTCTATGTCAACTCATTGTGCCCTCTCTCCTCTTAGCTCATGGCTTTTTATTCCCCTTTAATTGCACTGTACATGTGTTTTCACCTTCCCAATTTCACAGCGAGATTCTCAGTTATTTCTATTGGTGCTGTACTATCATTGAGCCAGTCAAATATAAGGCAATGTCCAAACACATCCTTGTGTCTGCTTCCATTCATGTGTCCATTCTGCCATCCCTCTCCCAAGCACAATACCTTCTCTGCCTATTCTGTCAAAATCTCTCCCCAACCTTTTGTCAAGGTCTCCTCAACATACCCCTGGTTGAGATTACTTGCATTTCGTTTCATTAAAATCTTTTCAACCATAGGCAGAAAATCATTGAAAATGGCTGCTTTCTCCATTCCTGAAATGTGACTCATGGATCTGAAAGCAGCTAACAAGGTGCAGGGCTGGAATAACACAGCAGGCCAAGCAGCATCATAGGAGCAGAGAGGCTCCTATGATGATGCTGCTTGGCCTGCTGTGTTCATCCAGCCCTGCACCTTGTTGTCTCGGATTCTCCAGCATCTGCAGTTCCTACTATCTCTGAAAGGAGCTATCCTGGTCTGCCCTGATTCCTCATCCGTAACTAGCGCTCAGCAGCATTACCTAAAAACAAGACAATAGGTTTCACATCCATATTGATGACAGTCAGTTGCACTTTTTCAGCAGTTCTCTTTATATCCCCCCTGCATTTGAGTTTTCATGCTGTATGTAGAATGCCCAGCATGAATCAGCAGATCTTATCTCTAACTAAATATTGGGAAAACTGAAAACACAAACTCCATCCATTAGCCACCAACTTTTTCTCTCTCCCTGCACTCTGGCCGATGCTGAAACAAATCACTTCAGCATCCTACTTAATTTCAAGATGAGCTTCTGAAAGTATACCCACTTCATAATGTTTCCCATCTCAGCCCCCTCGTCAGCTACAGGAGCTTACTTCCATGTCTTTGTTACCTCTAACCTTGCCTATTCCATTGCTCCCATGCATAAACCTGAGCTTGCCCCAAACCTTTGCCCATATCATAAATTGGGACAAATCTTGTTTACATATCATTTCTTTACTCCCTGACCTACATCAGCTCCAGCCCAGCAATGCCTCAGTTTTAAAATTCTTTTCGTTGTTTTCAGATCCATTCATTGACTTGCCCTATGTATCTCTGTTACCTCACCACCCCTTTAACTTTTTAAGCTTCCAGCTCTCATCCAATTCTGAGTTCCTACACATCCATGATTGTCATCATTGAACCATTGATAGTCATGTCATCAGTTACCACTGCCACTGACAGTGGAATACCCTCCCTCTGCTTGCCTAACTCTGGAAAATAAAATCTTTGACGAAGCTTCAGTGTCAATGTGGCTCAGTGTCAAAGTTTGTTCCACAACTTCCCCGTTAAAACTCTTAGATCATATTGCTACGTTAAAATGATAAATAACTTGAAGTATTGTAGAAGGCAGGCACATAAAATAATTAAATAAGTATTTTAAAGGGGCCAGATGTAAAGGAGCAAAAATGACATGACAGTTGTCTAAAGCTCCTGTTAGACATCAATTCAAGTTCTACATATTAGGCCCTACACCTTAGGGCTATGGATAGGATGAGTATAAATTTTTCAGAATGATACCTGGATTAAAAGGGTAAAATGATGAGGACATGTTTCTAAGTCTGGAGTTGTATTTTCTTAAAGCATCAAAGGAATTATAATTGACGTGTTTAAGCTAATGTAAAGGATGTGGTAGCGTAAATAGAACGAAAACAGTTTCTTCATTGGAACAGTTCAGACATAAAAGCAACATTTAAGGATAATATCAGGAAGTAGGTGTTAACCTAACATGTAACAGAAGTCTGGAACTATTTTCTGCCAAAAACATGTTGAGGCCAAATGAATTAGCTTAAGATTGAGAATGCTTTCTTTGTGGTAAAAACCTGAGTTGTTTTTGAACCAGTGTGGTTTGATAGATTCAAAAGACTGCAGATATGATCTAATACAGTACTGGAACAGGTTCAAGGATCTGAGCGATCAATGTCTATTGCTATTCCAAATTTATGAAAATAAGAAGTCGGAGCATGAATATATCATCCTTCCCCTTGTGTGTACTTTGCCATTTATGACTGAACTGCAATTTAAATTCACTTTCCTGATGCTTCCCAAATCCGTTAACTCTTGGAGAAATTCAAAACCTATCAAATCTCAGTCTTGAGCATACTCAACAAGTAGACAACTACAATATATGGGGGGAGACAACTGCAGAGATTCACAATGATCTTAAGTGGAAAAATTTCTCTTCATCTCAGTTCTAAATGATTGACCCATTACCTTGAGACTCTGCCCCTGTATTCCACACTGTTCAGTCAGGGGAAACAACCGTAGAGTTTAACCTGTCAAATATCTTCAAAATCTTATCTGTTTCAATGAGATCATCTCTCATTTTTCTCAGCACCAGAGAGCATAGGTCTGAATGACTCAATCTGTCATCATA